CCAGTCAACAGCCCATCACTAGTTAACATTTGGACTCCCTGTCTGGACATTCAAGGGCATCAAGGCTGTGAGCTAGAAGACAACTCTTCTACAGTATATTTTGCCTTCCCTTTGATGCTTAGCCAGATACACTTCTAATACTTCACCCCACAATCTTCATCCTTCATTAACTAAAATTTTGGTTTGGATTGTCAAGATCTTACTTGCTCAAGGAAAGTGTAAATCTTTACCAGAATTTCCTAAGAGGCTTTCCCAGCTGGCCTTTGGAGTTGATGAATGCTAATGTGCTTTTTTTCCCCCGTCAATATACAGTAAAGGGAATAATGTATTAGTGACCAATTCAACATTAGTGGGGGTGTGGGGTCCTTCTGAAAAAATAAATCATACCTCATTATCCTTCAGCCCACAAAGTTAAAGCAGCTTTTGCTCTCAATACAACAAGCGAACACTTAGCTGCTCCCCACAGGTTTCAGTATTTGAAGCTGGCCACGTTTCAATAAAATGTTTTTTAAAGAAATAAAATATCGAGAAAATATATAGCAACCTACATTATAGTCATCTGAATCACATTTTTCAGGTAGGGGGTAATAATTACAGACAGTTTGAAGTAAAAACCCCAGATTTAAACACTTCCAAACTAATTCATTTTGAAAACCTGAGGCAACAGGCAGAGAAACTTGTCTGCATCTAGGAGAGATTGAGGATTAGACAATGGATCAAATGCCACACATTGAGAACTCACACCAGCCATGAAGATACAGTCTGCAAAGCTGAGCTTTGCAGTCCTGAGAAGATCGGAGATATAAGCTATTTAACCAAGTCCACCTCTCTGCTCTTCCTCAGCATGGGATCAGTTGAAGTGTTTTTATAGATGAAGACAGGCTGTAATTATTAAAGCAAGGACGAAATGATGTTCTTCCAGCTTACCCTAACTGCCATGACCCAGGGGAGAAAGCCCTGGGAGACAGAACAGAGAAAAACCTGGGAAGTCTATGATAATTTTTCCTGAGCATAGTGATTTAATGGATACAACTAATGAGAAATAAATAATGGTAGAAACTGCAAGTGGAAACATGTCTACAACTCCTTTGTAGTGAAGTTGTGAACGTCCAAATGATTCATGAAACACAGATGAGTTTGCAAACTCTTAAGCATTTCCTTGGTAAACAAGCTGAAACCAAGCACTCTGCAGCCATTACAGACATCTATACATGTCACTCGTGGCTCTGGCTCTCGAAATAACAAACCTTACATAGTATTGGTGTGGAAGATGTTTCTGGCTTTCCCAAGAGGCATGTTACAAAGGGACTCCAAATGTCTTTAATGAATAGCAAAGATGCTTTCTGTCCAAGAAAGAGCTGTACAACAAGTAACCAGGACAAGTATGACACAGGCATCGCCCAGTTGCAAATGGAGGGATCAATCTATTGTTTATAAGATGCATATGGAAAATATGAGAAAGATAAACATGATTGACAAGACCTAGAAAAGATTTCTCTGGTGTTCAGCTTACCAGAGTGGTCCACAGGGAATCTGTGCCAGGATGACAAACTGTTTTGTGAAATGGGACTTGGATGCATGTGTTCATGCATGTATAAACAAAAAAGGATGCACTAAGGAAATACTTGTCTTGTTTCACTAATTTCTCAACTCACTGGAAAACAAACAAGCATGCAAGACCCTTAGTGTAGCTACCCACTCACAGTGAAACAGGTAATAAAACACCAGAAACAGCCTCCTGGGAAGTAGAAGATCATTTTCTTATTGATCTAACAAGGGAAATCAAACTTTAACTGGATTTCCTATAAGCACAAAGTAGAACAATCTAATTATGAAAAGCCCAAACTGGGTACATTATTATTGTTGGTGTATTGTACAATGAGCATCATTTATAAGCCCCAGGGAAATTGGGGCACCGTTGTGTTAGTTTGGTACTGTGCAAAAACATAGGACAGTGTTTGCAAGCACGAAATTCCTAACCTGTCCCTCCCAGTCTCTATGCAGGCTGCTAGGATAAACCATTCAGCTTATGGCCCCTTCCCAGCCTGCATCTCTCCTGGCAGTGCAAACTTTATCTTTAGAATGTAAAGTATATTTAGACCCAGAATTTATGTCCTACGCCTTGTCTAGACCATTTTCTCTAGGTCACAAGTACCAGCAGGTGGTTTGGAGAATGAACTCTGTAAAGAAACAGGCATTTTGTCTGAACACAGCTAAAGCAAAAGCATTTTGCACATGTAGACTCCTTTCTCCTTAAATGAGTAGGGCCTGTATTGTCCTCTGTCTTTCTTACCACTCTCATAGCAACAAAAAGAGATACCAATTCAAAGAGATGGTTCACTAGTGTGAATGAGATACAATAAGCATGACATAGAAAATATGTAACTTCTCAGGAAATAAAGGAAAAGATAAACAGAAAGAAGTTTTGCTTGGATTTTTCCACAACAGGGATATTATCCAGTCAACTGATGTTAAGAACATCCTCATCTAGGGGTAAAGTACAACAAAAAGAGACTGAGCACAAGCAAGGTGGGAACTGAAGATTAGACAACACAAAACATGTTATGGCATCCCACTTGTCTGGTGATGGGAAGCCTGGCTAGCAAGGCTGTGAAAAAGAAGCTATTCAACCCCTTTGTAACATAAACTGTTTTGTTAACCTTTTCATTCTGGCAGTAAATTAATGCATCCTGTATGACTGAATGGTCAGGGGCCTTATTATTATTATGGTCCATCCACTGAAAATTGCTGATGTAACATAATCCTTTTCCCCTGGCAGCAGGAGCATCAGCAGGGCTGCTGGGGTCATTCTTTCAATCTTTACACATTCCCATTGCGTATCAGGTTGTGATCCATGACACAACACATTTGGGGACCCACAGAAAGCCCATGAGCCTCCTTGTTAAGCAGAGACATCCTCAGAGCAATCTGGAACAGCACATAAAATCTACATAAAATGTAGATTCCCCTATTTCTCCCCTTTGCAGCCTAAACCTGCATGTGCTGGCATCAGAACAGGGCATAGCTTTAAGGTAAATTAGATTATGAACTGAGATGTGGTTTTGGATGTGTGAGTCCTCTTCCACAGATCTTAAAAGATACGTGCAGTGGAAAAAAGGTGCCTTTAATTTTATTCCTGTGTATTTTCCAGCTGAGCCTTGCAGCAGACAACATAAGATTAAACTATCATGAACAATCACAAGGAAACAAGTGCTGAGAAAAAACAATAACTCTGAATCTAACTTGGGTTTAAAAGACTCAAATGATAATCTGGGTCATTTTCTTGATGTGTCTGCAATTTCAATCTTTCTTTTGCACAGTTGTCAAGTTCTAATTAACTCAACGTTTTTTGTCCTCTATCACTGAAGAGAGAAAGGGAACAAGAACACTGAAAGGGGAAGACAAATTATTTTTTTTCTGTGAAATATTCATGCCTGATTAAAACAAAGCAAACTGGCAGATTATGAGTATATTTACATAGCCACCAATTCTGCGGAGAAGCACTCATATTGAGTGCCAAAAAATGCCCACCAATTCCTCAACAGCAGGAACTGGGGCTCCTAATGCAATGAAAGAATTAATTAATGCGGAATGATTTACCTCAGGGCTGGATCACACAGACATAGCCTCTACAAACTCAAAGTTTGGTGCTCCTGGTTAATAGAGAGAGCAACACTTTTTCTCTTTTCTGTACCTATAACATCTTCATTATTTTATTATCTATTTAATATCCCACTGAGGTTCACCATGTTTCAACAGCAAGGGTTTCTGCTTTTGGTCCTACGCAGTTAAAGCAGATGGTTAGACTTACTTAGCAATTGAAATCAAGGTTTATTTACCGGAGCAAGGTTAGAGCCAGTGCTGTATCATATAGGCTTAAAGATTTTGCTAATTTATTTTAATCCACTTAAACCTTTAAGGCATGGATAATGGAAAACAGACAAGAAATCTCTTAAGCTTTCCAATTTAAGAGACAAGAGTTTCCTTCTCTGCAAACAATAGTAAAGCTCTCTAGAAGAATCCTGAAAGGTCAGCAAGGACGCCTTTGACTACTTTCTTCCTGGAAACTCTATCTCAAAGGTCACAATACCACAACTAAATTGCTGTTAGCAAGGAACCTAACTAGAGACACATTGCAAGGTACTTAATTGCCTTTAGCAAAGAATGTAACTGGAGATGCATTGCAAAGCCTTAAATGGAAACCAAAATCGATATTTCAACATTTAGGAGGAAAGCATTTTTAGCAAGGAGACTCAGCAGCTGCTCATGCTGGCACATTGAGCTTAACACACTGGTCTGGAGTGTATTTTGAAATAATGGTAGCACCAGTATAATGATCTACCTGTCATGTGGATAAGTGTATTCAGAGTACATTATTAGGAGTACATGTATGCTCATGGAAAATCTGACTGGGATAAAGATAAGAGGAATTCCATGCTTCAAAAGAACAGTGAAGAGATTGCCCATTGCCACACAAAGGACCCCTCTCACATCCAAGTTAATTGCCCAGATGAATGACAGAAAAACTACTGGCACAGGTGACAAATACATAACCAAACCAAACAAAAAAAGCTACAAACAAAAGGGCCACCACTCCCTGCAGTTTTAAATCAACTTACTTCTCTTGCACTCAAGTGTGTCCACATTCTCTATCACATTTCACTAATTAAGTGTCTGGCTCCAGCAAGCCAGGTGAGCTATATAAGCATTACTGAATCCCGTTAGAGGAAAGGAAACTTAAACACAGTTTCAGCGTGGCAGAGGATTACAGGGCGCCTGTGGCACAGTAGAAAATGGAGACTCTAAGACCAGTAGTCCCAAATCTGCCTGTATTAAGTGACTGCTTTGAAACCTTGAATTAAAACACTGTAAAAGCATCAATGGGAAAATGATTGTCAGGCCACTTTCACTGGCCTGTGGATTACAGGGGTAAGGAAAACAGCATAGACTAAACTGAAATGGATCATCCTACCGGAATCTGAAACAGGAATAGCTCTTACCTTCAAAAGCAATTGTGGGGTGTTCTTTCCTGACACATTGCTGATGTTCAGCTTCAGAGTATTCAGGTACATTCTGTGATGCTGAGAGATGAAAAGCAAGAAGAAAAAGGCTTGGCAATGACAGGGAAATGGCCTTTAATCTTGAAACAATCATGACTGAAGGGCGGCTGCAGAACTAGCTTCCAAGATAGGCCCAGGGAAGATACCTGAAATACAAATAATTCCAATTTCAGAAAGACAAATTCTTATCCAGAGCAGGTAGCACAGGTAGGCAAGGGTGGAGGTTCCCCTTTCATCCCAACCCCACTTGTGCTAGGTACACAAGGTAATATTCCACAAACAGAATCTAAAAACCAAAACCAAACCAAACAAAAAACCAAATAAACAAAAAATAAACACCCCCCCCCAATTTACAACTGTATTTTGACTTGTAACTTCAAATGCAAGGGAAGTGCACAGCTCCCTAAACATCTATCTCTGTGTGCCTTTGGGGTATATATCCTTAAACAGCAGCTGGTGTGCAATGGCTGATGCTGACAACCTGAAATCTCAAATACTCCAGATGTAAATGTGTCCCCCAGTGTGGACACCTCCCTCCTCAGTTTCATGATGTGCCCTGGTAAATGTCATGCTACATTCAAGAGATTGCTAAGGAAAGGCCAACATCAGTCATCAGGAAAACACATGTGTAATTAATACTGGTCTAATTGGTGATTTATACATTTTACCACTGCTGTTTTAAATGTCTTCAAACAAAAAAAAAGCCAATTCAAAGGTGTTGCCAGGAAAGTGCTAATTAAGGTACAATAAAAATTAAAAGAGTTTATTGGGGAAAATGGTGAGAACTGAGTCAATTGCTTGCATTATTATGGGATGCTATAGCTCCCAGTCACAAGAGCTGAGGCACAGCCAAAGAGGAGGAGCTCTCACTCTCGGGAGAGGAGAGCAGAGAGGAAAGTCATGCCTTTTCTGTGTGAGCTTTTTAACAACAACAGCAGCAGTTAAGGCATAGCTCTAAAAACTCCCTTGGGCCAAGCAGGCCTGAGGCAGGGGATGGAGGATTAATTAGCCAATGCCACAAGCTCCCCAAAATGATCCTACAACTTAGGAAAATATGCATAAAATTTAATCCTACTGATGTGCATATTATATTTTCCTATGTAAATTTGCTCAATTATTGCAAACACGTGTTTTCAAACAAGTGGAGTCTTCTACCCTTAAATCCTACCCAGTGATAAAGCTGATTCTCATTAAATTCACAAGTAACAAGATTTTTAATTCCTGCAGGTGTAGTGATCCACAAAGGTAGTGTAACAGTCAACACCTGCAGTGCCTCATGCCTCTACATTTTTGTTTGGAGTCTCTAAAACACTTCCAGTGTTTCAGTGACCTGAAGCGGTCAAGCTGATGGCAGGTAACATGAGGCACTGATGGACAATAGCAGGCTTGCGGTGTGGACCAAACTCTAATATGGTTACATCAAGGAGCTGGAAGAAGCTTGTAAAGGTCTTTGGGCATCACAGGAGCAATAAGGGACTGCTTACAGCAGCAATGGGAGATGGTTTGGAAAATGTTTTATTATTAACTGCATTTCTCTGTGACTTTAAACACTGGCATAAAGATGAGCTGCCAGCACATCCATTATGTGTGTGCTCAGCAGCAGCTACATACCTCTGATTGAAAATAGCACTGGCATTCAGGACTTGGGGTAGTTCTAAGGACTTGGTTTCCCAGCTAGTGTGAGTGAGACATTACAACATTTCACTTTTTTCCCAGCCCCATACATATGCAGATTTTATGCAGTGATGTATAAAAACGCCTTCCAGTTCTCCAAATGACGTTCTACAGCACTTTACTACAGAGGGTGGCTTTTTTAAAAACACAGCAAATACAACGTTAAATTAAAAAATGGGACTGGCAGAAGGGAGAGATGTGAAATCATTTAAAGCTCAGGCCAGCACAGCATTTAGTCATTAAGCACAGGCATACTGAAGGGCGTACACCACTGAGCACCGTGGCACCTCACATGATGGACATGTTGTGCAAGTCACACTGTAATAAAAATTATTGATGATGAGGCATCAAATTATATTTTCTACCACTGGTTTAAATGATCGTGTTTTCTCCACACGACAGAGTGAAGTGAAGCACAGCTCAGAGATGTGAAGGCCAGGGAGACGCATTTTGTACAGCTTTCGGATACACTTAAAGTCAAAGCCAAACTTTCCTTAGGTAGGAGATGGTTGTTGTGGGAAATGCACAAAAGGCAAAAGTACTTTTTCACTGTCAGATATCCTTGCTGGAAACTGGAAGAGACAGTCATGGAAATCTCACTTTATGCATGCTCTACTACTCCCAGTGCAGCCATTACTGGCTAATCCTGGAAATAAGGTACTATAGACAGGTTTTAGTCTGAGCCAATATGGCCATTTTCATATACTAATTATCCAAACAATGATCTCAAGCTAGGTGAAAAAAAATCTTAAAACAAAGACACACGGTAGGGTCTAATGCTCCTCTACAGCCCAATGTCTTGTACAATCAGCAGATGAGTAAATTCCAGTTTCAAACTTACCAGGGTCATGAAATGATAAAAAGTTGCATATGAGAAAGCTTCATAACATCCCACTGCCTATTCTGTGCCAAAGCAGAGTACATTTACTAGTGTTTTGTCTGGACTAGTTGTAAAATGTGCCAAGTAGCTGGATTTCTGCCACTTTCCCTGGGAGATTTTACCACAGCCCAAGAGACTTCAGTGTTCCTTAGAAAGCTCTAACCTGTATTTGGGGTAAAGTTCCATCTTCTTTTTCCTTATTGTCATAGGGAAACCTGAAGTGTGCATGAAAACAATGATTTCAAACTTGATTTATGACCAAAAAAAGATGAAAAAGAAACATTACAAAAACTTGTACCCTTGAGCCTGTTCCCTGTCTCCTACTTTCAACTGTGTTGATCAAATGTGTGAAGCTCTCACGTGTTGGAAAATTGAACAAAACCAGTGTCACATGCAGCCCTGAGCTGGTGTCTACTGGAGTCAGAGTCAATGGGTAAATGCCAACTTGATCAAGGGTGACGAAGCCAGAGCCCTGGAGCGCCAGATGAACAATAGTGAGACAGTAGACAGACTGCAAAAGCTTACTCCTTCAACCTGCCCCTTCCCAGGCTGCCTTGCTCACTTTTTCTCAATATTTTAAGAAAGACACTAACTCAGTAATTACTATTTCCAGCCGCTGCAAATTTGTTTCCAAAAAAAACCCCCCACACTCTAAATATGAAGCAGTGCCAATTGCAAGCATAGGTCAATTGAGTGCCAAGAGCAAGCTCGTAACTGCCTGGGAGAGTCCAGCAGTTATGAAGTGCTTTAATGAAATTAAATCTTTTAATTTGACTGGAGATGGCCAAGCCCACCCTCCAATTTTGCCCAAGCTGCAGATTTTCACTGTGAGGGCTGGGGTATGACCAGTGCTTAGGACCAGTCCCCATCCAGACTGCTAGAACACAGCCCAGGCTGGTGCTGCTTTGCACTGCTGGAACTTGCCCTGGCCTCAAGCTGTTTAGATGCTATAAAAAAGAGGTGTTCTTATCAGACTCTCTGCTCAGAATGGCTTAGGCCTCAAGAAATCAGCTGTCAAGTTTTCAGTGCAGACGAGAGACAAGAGCTCAAATCCCTGGTTAAACTCAAATCTCAGATAGGACATATCATTTCAATTCTTTATTTGCTCATTTTGATGCATCTTTACCACTGTAGCTATTCCCCTCCCCAGCCCAACGCAGACACGTTAAAAAAAGATGAAAATGTCAAAAAACATTATCTCTCCAAGTTTATCTGTCCTCTCCCTCACGAAAGCCTGTCCTCTGCACCACTGCACAGCCCCAAGGGACAGTGATGGGGAATCTTTCTCCCCTATGAGGGATTCTCTCAGAGGATCTCCCCTCAGAGGGATTCACTGCACAGTGACAAAAAATGGTCAGCAAATTCAGACTGCATTGGACCCGGTGAAATATGCTCCAGAGACAGGTATTTTGTAGAGGCACCACTTCTGCCACCATCCTGTTGTCTCTTAAATCAGGCTTTCTTAGCTCAGGAGCCTCCCTGACCGCAGCGGCGGTCGCAGGGGACGGGCAAAGAGCGGCTCTGTCTGGGAGGTCTGCACGCTCAGAGCATCCCAAAACTGGGGTTTGCAACCACAGCACCCGTGTCAGCACAAACCCATTGCCACCTGCCCGCTTCTCACCCAGGACACTCCATGGCAGCCCAGCGGGGACAGTGTATAATTTGTATAATTCTGCTTTGCCTCGCAGCTTCACCCCCGTGCAAGGGCAGCATTCAGGGGATCACCCACAGTTCCTCCCTTATTCATTCTCAGGGCATGAGTCTTTTCCAACTTGCCCCGTACTGTATCATTGTAACACCACTGATTTCACAGGAGCTAATCCTGATTTACAGAGGGTAACTCAGATCATGCCCCTTTTGACTAAAGCTCCACGTCTAAAAGAAAAATACCTTCAATCAATCTTCAGGGCTTTAAAACAAAGCACACTTTAAAAATGGCTGTACCAGGAATTCATATCCTGCTTTCCTCTAACTGTAACTATCATTTTGACTTAATAAAATGTGACAGTAAAGTTAAAGGATAAAAGAAAATGCTTCATCTTTCATTTTAAAGAAAAGCAATGCCTTTAAAAAAAGACTAAAAATGGAACCTCCTGTAGAAGCTTTAATTCTTCTGTTGGGGATCTTTTGTGATTGGCACAGTTATGGTTTTATTAGACTGGAATATCAGAGGGAAGAAGAGCAATGGAAAGAGGTGGACATGAAAGTATTCCAAAAAGTAATGGAAAAATAAGGGAAAGAAATATAAACACTATAAAGCAAGACAGCTCAGCAATGTGGCTGTAACAGGCTGGCACAGGCAGCTTTGCCCTAGAAAACAGAGAGCTCCAAGGCCAACAAAACTATGGTCCTTTATTCATCTGATGCTCCTTGCCCTTCTCTCCTACCCTCTCCAGCTGGAATCCATCCCAGTCAACTGGCTCCAAGGGCCATTCCACACTATCGAAGAAAAAGCACAGCTTTTCCCTCTACCCCTGGCCACATCCACACCCTCAGCCCTCAGCTGTACCCCTGCTGGGGAGTTGGATTTGTCTTACAGATGAAATATGGCACACTGCACTTGCTATTCCAGAGATCAGATCTCATATGCAC